TTTAAAATTTTGGGTAAAACCAAAATTTAAACGAAAAAAAATTAACGATAGACTGTTTGTTTTTCGAAATAATTGTTAATTGCTGTCCCAATTTTAAACGTAACATTGCAAATTAAAAAATAAATTTTTTATTAAAAACTGTGAAAGTGGGGATGACATTCAAAGAAACCAAAAAAGTTTTAAACAGCCAAAATATCTTAAAAAACCCTGATGGGACCTATTTTGTTACCAGAAAAAATAAAAACCCAAACCCTTTCCAAAATTTTTAAAAAAATTTTTTGAATGGGGGCGCTATATTGAGTCTGATTTTTCTCATGTCTCAACCGGGGGGTTGTAGGATTGATTTGGAAACATTGGGTGCATAATTAAAACCCGCCAAAGGATTTATATTTCCCATGCAAAAAATCTTTTGTAAAGCATGTTAATATGTGCTAAATTTTTAAAATAAAAAGGTTTCTTTCCCCCAAAATTTATTCCCTTTTAAATTTTGTTTGGGTTATAATAGATTTTTTTTTTCTAAATGGATTGGGAAGAAAGGATGTTAGATCAGTGAGTAATAATAAAATCACTTTTCTTAATTATTCTTGGAACTTATCGTAGCTTAGCACTCATTTAATTTAATGTGGTACCTGTTATAGAAACACAATTTTGGGTTCCCCTTTACCGAATTCCCAAAGGGAAATCCATCGTTTCAAAAGGGGGTTGTATTTTTTGTATCAAACCCTTCAAACTGGGGAAGGATTCAACAACCCCTGCCCAGAGGTCATAGGAAGTAGGGCCCCTTGTTTAAAAAGATTACCCATAAACCTTTTTTAAAAATTGAACCCGAAAAAACTTTTGGGTTATTTAATTGTTTTGGGGGTTTTAAACTCTCACTCCCGGGCAAGGATTTTGTTGCCCCCCATGAACCCGCTATTTGTAAAAGGGATTTTATCTCTCTATAATTTAAAGAGTAATCAAATTTGGTGACTATTTTTTTTTCAAAATTCTCGCAAGATTTAAAAATTTACCCGGGGAAAATTTACGGGTTTTGATTTTCTCCTATTTCCTCGGAGTTCAAAAACCCCATAATGGTTGGGGGGGAAATTTTTTAAACCCCGGACAAATGGAAAAAAAGGGGTTAAGGGATGGACATTTAGCTAAGAAAAAGGATGAGAGAATATCAGGGTTTTGCTGTTTAAAACCCTGCCCCCAAAGTTTTTACTCGGGCAATAAAACCCCCAGCAGAAAAACCCCCCGGGGAAAGGGGAAATGGTTCTTCCCCATTTCTATGTGCACGGGCCCCAGTGGAACCGATCCATGTTGGCCTTTGTATTTGGTTTCCCCAAAAAATTAACCAAAAAAGAGAAGAGATACAAGGGGTTCTACTTTTTGCCCAAGGGTGAAAATAAAAAATTTTCAAATATTAATGGTCTCTTAAAACGATGAAATTTTTTAAAATATCATGGAAACTTGGGCAAAAAAAACAACTGGTTTTAATGGCAGAACAAGCACTAAAACAGTGTTAATGATTTTTTGTGGTATGGGAGCTTTGCCCCCTTTATGTGTGGGTTCCTGCTACCAAAAACTCCCCAAAAAGTCTTTAAAACCCTAATGAATTTAAAAGGTCCCCAACTGATTGCAAACCCATTGGGATAAGAAACTATCCCCCGACCACAGGGGAGAAGGGAAAAAACCAATCTTTTTGAAAAAAATAGTGTGGCAAATTTCAACTGTGAAAAAAGGGCGGAGCGAGCCCGAAACTACAAAACTAAATGGGAAAACAATGTGAATATTTCCCGGTATCCCCCTTTTTTAAACCTCAATTTCCCCAGCGACTTGGGGGTGGTGTGGAGATGAAAAATTGTTTGACCCAAAATTCCATGTACCACCATTTGGGTTAAGTGCTGGGCCGTCACTTTTATTTTACCCGTTTTGTTACCTCACTCACAACGGATGAAATTAAATTTACAACTGCCCAAAAAGAAATTTTCCCCCACCCCAGGGCATATAAAGGAGGAGGGCATCTGAAAATGCATGGGTGGAGAAAGACCTCAATTATATTGAAAGCATTGGGGTACCCGAGGTGTTTCCCGATGGGGTATAAACTACCCAAAAAAAATTTTTTGCAGGAAATTTTTTTTCTTTTTTTATGCGGTGGGTACTTTTAAATAAAAAATTTTGAAAAGAATCAACAACCATTATAACGTCCAAGGGGGAAAAAAAAAAAAGAGGCTTCTTTCCCCCAGTACCATGAACAATTTTTAACTACCCCTCTGATGGCCCTTTTCCCCAAAAAATATTTCGGGTTTAATGTTTTTTACTGAAAAAGGTGGGGTTTTGCCTTTTTTTGGGATCAGTGTTGCATTTTTCCCCAAACAACACCGCCCGCGATGGCAAACCTCACAAAAGGGCCCCGAAGGCCTTGGGTTTTAAAAAGCAAAAAGAAAGAAACCCTTTTTGGAGTTGACACAAAAAAAATGGGGGTGGTTAGGGGACCAAAATTTTTTTTAAAAACAAACCTTTTTGGGGTTTCTAATTTTTAATTTTCAAAAGTGTATTTCCGCCAAACTTGCCTTTTGGGGATTGTTGTTGGGTTTTCCCTTTTTTAAGCGCCCGCCCAAATAGACTGATTACCCCCGGCAATAAAACCCTGGAAAACAGAAATGTATGCCCCCGCCCCCCTGGGAAAAAAAACCCCCTAATGATGAAACAGGGGCGAAGAGAGATCTCTTTGCTTTTCCTGACCCTTTTATCCAAAATTTCCCAAAGACCCTTAACAGGGAACCCACCAGTTTAAAGTACCCCTGGGGTGTCCCTTTAAGCTAAAAAATGATTTCATAGTTGAAAAATCTGAAAGGAAGGGAAAATATAAATGATAAAAATTTAAAGCTTAAAGTGAAAACGGGGGGAAATGTTGGATTAATTGTACAAATTATTTACTTTAAAAACATAAATTTCTTATACATTTTTTTTTTTTTACATTTGCATATTCCTGTTTTAAAATTTTATTACACAAAGTGTTGAAAGGGTTTTCCCCTTTCTGTCTTTCTAAGCTTGTTATTAGTGGGGTTTCATATTGGGGTGCTTGGTGTCAAGGGCAGCAAAGGGGAAAAAAGGGGAAATAAACACCCCACTAAAAAGGGGAAAAAGGGGTGAAAGCTCTTATCTCAAAGTAAATGTATGATGTTATGCAGGGCTTTTTGGTACCGACTGGGTTTTAACCCCCCCCTTCCCGGTTCCGAATGGTTTTACCCTTCCCCCCCCCCTTAGCAAATTCGGAACCCCAAATTTTAGCCAGGGGGGTTTCCTTAAAAAAAAGGGTTGGTAGAGGCCCGGGGACCCTTTTTTAAAAGTGGTTTGGAAGAATTGTAACTGAACAGTCTCTGATCACTCTCCTTGCAAGTAAATTATACTAAAATTCTCTGTGTCTTCCTTTGTACAGGTTACTGCATAAAATGTTTGGTGTTTAAACCTAACAGTGACATATGAAATTAATTCAATTTATTTCTGCATCATGCCCCGAGTTCACTTTCCAGTTCACCAGATCATCCAGTCAGATTGATTTAAAGGTTTCTATCAAAGGAAAAACCAGCTGATTGCCAGCTGATTGCATCGACTCATTGACTCTTCAGCAATCCCTCACACTAAGCATGCTTGTAGCGACAGTGGAGAGGAAAAACTCCCTTTGAACAGGAAGAAACCTCCAGCAGAACCAGGCTCAGTGTGATCGGCCATCTGCTGAGGCCGACTGGGGTTCAAGGAGACAGAAGCAGAGATACAAAAAGCAGCATAGATACAGAAGGCATGTACATGAAGATGAACGAGGTGATAAAGCTGTAAAAACTACCTCACATACGGAAAGACAAACTCAGAAAGCTCTCAGCACGTGAAAAGATTTACATGAAGACAACATGAAGCACAAATCGAATGTAAGACAAAAAAAATAAGAAAAACACCTAAACCCAAACGCATCAAATGTGTGTGCTGATAGACTATTTGGACTGATTCTGGATCTTTCTGTGAAACAAGCTCAAATCTGTGTTACTACATCTAGACTAGTGTGGACCATTTCTAGCCTGACACGTTACTGATTGTTAATGACGCCTATTTTCAAATTAAAATAAGATGTATTCAGAAGATGAAGAACATCCTGGGAATGTTATGTCTCTCCCTCTGTGGAATTATGGCGTTCTGTTAGGAAATGGCCTCCTAACCTTCCCCTGATTGATGCACAGCAGCAGCTGATTCTGTGGGTCAGGAAGCTGCAGCCGCCGTGACAACGTGATGAGAACAAACTTTTTGACCCGACTTTTACAGTCTTTGTCTTATATGTGACACTTTGGTTGCTGCAGGTTTAATGTTTAACAACAAGCAAGTTATGAGTGTTTCAAAGAACATTTACTGAACTTGATGTTTAGATTTCCACAGCATAGAGAGGAAGATCTCTAGTTTCAGATGAGTTAAAAGTCTCGTACCACAGTGGGAAGAGATTCATCATATAAAGCTGGTGGTTAATGAACATTTTTTGGGCTGGAAAAACTTGAGTCAGTGAAGATAGAAGAAAATTCTTCCTGTTCTGCAGTGTGAAAACTGAGCTCCTGAAGCAGAGAGAAGGTTTTATCCAGGCTGCTAAATGTGCTGCTTGGGGTGGGGGTGAGAGGTCGGAGAGAGGAAACCACTTACAGGAGATATATGGAGCAGTTGGAGCAACTCTGGCCCCCCGATCTGTCACCAGCCCTTATATGACCCCTCATTCATCAGGAACCCGGTCAGGGTCCAAACACACAGAATATAATCATCTTAAAGGACATTTTTTTTACAAACTGACAGCAGCTACTGCAGCTGAAGGCACATAAAGACACAATTTATAGGAAACTGAAGCAGAATGAACCTTACCAGCAATAAAAAACTGAATATGAACCATTCATTTTAATTATTGCTCCCTATAGCAGCAAATCTTCTGAAAACCACCTCCACTAACTCACTGACTTTCATCACCTCCTCATCCTCCCCCTCACCTGTCCCCAGGTGTAAGACATCATACGGTCCATCCTGAGCCTCCACTCGGTCCACAACAACCTTCTTCAGCAGGTACGGGGAGTTGACCCGGGTCAGGACGGGTCGGCCGCCCAGGGGCAGGACGGGCTCCCACATCAGCTGGTGCTGCCGTATGAAGCTCACCACCTCATCTGGGAAGTCCTTGGTGGACTTGTGCCGAGCGTCGTACGTCTCGCTTGGACACTTAGAGGAAAAGAGAGGAGAACAAGGGAAAAAGAACATAGTGGAGGATGTTAGGAGGCAGAAAGGTCCTAACGTCAGGGACATGGGTAAAATTAAAGATTAAAATAAAATCTGGAACATTGGAAAATAATTAGCTAAGTCAAATAAAACGAGTTGAAAACTGAATATTTAGCCAGAAATCAGATGAACTTATCAGAGTGAAACATATAAACCCTAAAAAAAATCTCCTATAATATAAACAAAAAGATGATTAAAGCTTAAAATCAGAGGTTTTTAAGCTTCTGAATCATTTTATTTTAACATATCTAAAGACATTAAAAATAACGTGTGAAGACTATCAGTCATCCAGTTAAAAAACAAACCGCTGGACTTGTTTTCCAAGTCTGAAGATGTTTCGCTTCCCATCCAGAAATATTTCTCTCTGGATTAGCATTGTGTTCCAGGCTTATAGAGTGACCCAAACAAAAGCCTTGTTGTGGCTTAGAAAACATGCAAATAGAACCAAAGAACAGATCCACCCCTTAATATAGGGGGGATCGTTGAGGTCTTTGTTGGCCTGCAAAACCCGATACTGGGCTATATTTCTCAAAAGGGAGTCGTTAGGGTCATTGTTGGCTAATAAGATAGGTAGTCTTGGTCCGGTGCATGGCGATGAGGATTATGATAGCAGGAAGGAATCAACTCTATCGCTGCATTGTAGGTGTTTGAAAGCTGGAATCTGAGTCCCCCCCTCTGTTTAAGGTTGATGTTTCTTTCTTAATATATATGGCTTCTTTCACACCCCTTTCAAACCACCTGTCCTCTTTGTCCAAAATGTGAACATTCTGGTCCTCTAATGAGTGTCCCTTGTCCTTGTCCCTCGAGAGTCTTGTCCAGAGGAGGGCGCTCTTCATGTGTCTGTGGAGAGGTTATTTGGTTTCTCCAATATAAAGATCAGAGGATTCCTCATTGCATTGAAATGCAGACAACACTCTGCTCAGATTTGGTCTGGGAGTTTTGTCTTTAGGATGCACTAGTCTCTGTTTAAGGGTCTTGCTTGGTTTGAAATGTTCTGGGATTCTGTGTTTGGAGAAAATCCTCTTGAGTTTTTCAGAGACTCCAGCAACATATGAGATAGTGATGTTTTTTGTGTTTTTGCATTTAATATTCTCCCCGTTATTTGTCTGTTGGACATGCAGCGGTAAAAAGAAGAATAAAAAAGAAAGGCAATAATAAGGCTTTTATTTGTGCCACTCTATAAGCCTGGAACTCAAAAGCCAATTCTGACATTTTGGATTGAGAAAGCTTCCTGGATGGGAATGCAAAACATCTTTAAACTTGGAAAACAAAATTGCATTATTATTTTCTTTTTATTTCTTTAATAAAAAAAATATCCTTACAATAGATTTAATTTCTATAAACCAAAATATTTAACTGTCCTGCTTTTGAAATAATTAAACTGCTTTTTCTACTTTAAGGTCAAAACAACTAAATCTGTGTGTAAAAATAACAAATACTAACTTATTTATGAATAAATTAGGTTTATCTGAGGTTTTAATGATGTGAAATGAACAGCGGGACCTCATAGATAAAAACTGCTCCAATAATGAGCAGCTGTGGTTCCAGATGTGCTTATCTCTAACTGGTCCCTACTTACACCAACTCTCCAACTCAGCCTGATTAAAACAGATCTGAAAACTTAGAGTCAGTTACTTCAAACCTTACAGGCTGTAACTTAATTTGTATTTAAAGTCACATAGCCTGTTTGCATTCAGAGGAAAATCAAAACATTAATTGATACAATTGTTAACTTTTTCTCATCATAATAACGACTGCTATCCAGGTGTCTTGAGTTTTATTATTCTTTAAGTTAATCTTTACCATTCAAAGCCTTGCCACATAAGGTTGTACTTTTTAATTTAGTTTCTCAGTTTATTCTTGTATTTTTTATTTATTTTTTGCTGTTAAAATTATTCATTTTCTCTTTTTCCCCATTTGTCATTTTGTTCTTTGTGTCCAAGTTCAGCTCCTTTGGTTTTGTTTAATCTCCCACCTTCGATTTCCCTGCTTTCTTTCTGCTACAGCTGCTCCTCATTTCCTCTGATGAGTCTCTTTAGTCACTTTATTGTTTTTCACCTCGTTTCAGTATTAATTAACATGCTGATGCATCACAGATGGATTCTTCTGTTACCCTGTTTGATTTCCCACCTGTGTTTCATCAACTCTCACTACTGTAATTCCCCTCCAGGTTTACCTGTTGCTTCATTATTAGAATAAACAACTCTTTATAAATGGGTCATTTACTACCACAAACATGACAGGAGGTCACTTTATAATGCTACAGTTAGATAACTAAATTTTACCCAAGTTGGTGTAAAAAATTAACCTGACTCCACCAGATGTATTTGCTCTGCATATCCATCTGGAAACCTTCTGTTGAAGTAATTTTGGGAAGGGGCGTAAATACTGGTTAGCTGATTGGCCTATATTGGTGATAGACGGGCCGAATAAACCAATCAGATCAACGAAGCATATGACGTACTAACAGAGCGACGACGAAAACACAACCACAAGCCAGGCTGCTCTTGCCGAAACCAGTCGGGAGAAGAGCAAAAACATCTTTTCCTCTGAGAAAAGCCTCCAGAGCAGTGTTTTGCTCTTCTTTCAGTGAAGAAATACTCTGTAATTCCAATAAAACTTGCTCGATAGCCATGCTAACGCTAGTTTCATCGGCTGAAGCCGCCATGTTCTTTAGACTGAACTGTCGCGCTTCTCGTTGCGTCACACCTCAACCCGCCTCAAAGCCAACGCTGATTGGACGTTCGTTTGGTGAACGGCTCCAAATTTTCTTTAACGGAGAGTCTCAAGACTGATCTGCGAGTGAAACCTTGAAAGCTCGCGAGATCAGGATGGTCTCACGAGGCTAATATGTTGCTGGAGTCTCTGAAAACTCAAGAGGATTTTCTCCAAACACAGAATCCCAGAACATTTCAAACCAAGCAAGACCCTTAAACAGAGAGATCAGGATGGTCTCACGAGGCTAGTAAAAAATGACTTTTGTAAAATCAGAAAATGTTATATAAAATATAGATTAAACTAATGCAAGTTGAACATAAGGAGCTTTAAATGAATAACTGAGGCCAAAAACCAAAATACAAAATACATGGGACCAAAAACCAGACAACTTCAACTGTAAAGCTTAAGCTCAGAGGGGATCGAGCGTTTTCTGTTGCAGCTCCAAAACTTTGGAATGGATTGCCGCTGCACATTAGACAGGCCACCTCTCTGTCTCACTTTAAAACTCTTCTTAAAACCCACCTCTTTTCTTTGGCTTTTGACACCATGTAGAGTGTTGATTTTATGTATACACATGCATATTTTTATCCTTTTGCTGGCAGTGCTTTTATTTTATTTTATTTTATTTACTTTTATTTATTTTAGTTATTTTATCTTTTTTGTGCAGCACTTTGGGAACCTTGTGTTTATTTAAATCGTGCTATATAAATAAAGTGGATTGGATTGGATTGGAACTTATTGGGGAAACTCAGCAAAACTCAAACCAGCACTGAGGAATTGCGAATGGAGAGTATATATGGGAGACTGAACAAAGACAGGACTAATGAGCTGATTAGGAGCAGGTGTGAACAGAGGATTCTAAAAAGGAGCTAGAGAAAAGGCAACCAACAGAGGGCAACCAATAAACACCTAAGAACTCAAATATATCCATAAAACACCACAAAATAGGAATAAAACCAATAGAAGTAGAAAACAAAGAAAAACATGGACAGAGATGGGAAGTAACGAAGTACAAATACTTCATATTTTTACTTTACTACTTATTTTTATGGTGACTTTTTACTTCTACTCCTTACATTTTTACACAAATATCTGTACTTTCTACTCCTTACATTTTAAAAAATTGGCTCATTACTTTATTTTGAATAATTTCAGTGGAGTTACCGTTATTATTTTTCACGTCATCAATACCAAATTCAGTCTAATTGGATGGGAATCTACGTTGCATTTGACGCACAACTACAAGATGAATCCACAGATTTGGCAGTATTCATTCACGGCAAATCATTGCAGCTTGGTGGGGATGGCGTTAGCATAGTAGCATGGACGACGAGATGATTGAAAATGAACACAATGGAGATCTAGTCCTATTGGCAGACATCCATTTAAAATGTAGGCAACGGCATGAAAAAAGTGGTTTCTACTTTTACTTTTATACTTTAAGTAAATTTACAAGCCTGTACTTTGTTACTTTTACTTGAGTGAAGAAGTTTAATCAGTACTTCCACTTTTACCAGAGTATTTTTTAACACAAGTATCTGTACTTTTACTCAAGTACGGAAAGTGAGTACTTTTGCCATCTCTGAACATGGATCAAAGTGAAACTGAAAACACAAAAGAAAACTTAACAGAACCAAGACTGTGGACAAATAAAAAATAAAGAAGAACAAAAAGAAATGGGAATAAATATCATACATATACAAATTTTCTTAAAATTTTCTTAAATAACTAACAGCTATAAGGTACATTCTTCTTGTGTCAAACCCCAGGCTGTTTCATGCAGAGCCTCATATTATCCCTCAGTGAGGAAAATGGAAACGTGAGAATGATGGATAGATGAAAAACTGGGAGCAGGAAAGATTAATTTGTTAAACAGATAAAGCAACTTGTAGCAACAAGATAAAAAGTGAGGTGAGGTAAAAGGAGCTGCAGGGAGAAATGTGGAAGCCATTATTGTCTCTGCGGTGAGCCGGTGGTCAGGAGGTTACCACCACAGAGTCTCAGTGACAGCTTCATCTGGCTTATAATCATCCCGCCTGATTCAAGGCTCTCATCGTTGCCACGGCTCACCTCTCCTGCAGTCGACCGCGTGATTGAACGGCACGCCACAGAGAGCTGAAATAATACCTGACGCGCACACCGACCTCTGCCCTCATGACAAGCTGAAACACCCCAGAGGAGCCGAGGTGTTGGACCTGCAGGGGCTGAACCGTCTTTATGGGTTT